TTTTGGTCCCATCCGACTTGACCGTACAAGGGTCTTGGCCACCAATTCCGCAAGCAAGCCACAAGGTATAATGGAGAACCTTGGGAAGTATCACAGGAAATAGATTCGCCAAGGCTGTCGGAGTGCCCAATTCCAGTCGAGGGACTGCAAAATATATGGGTCACCGATGTCTCACGTTCCCTTATCAAATGGGGGCGTTAATCCTCTCCCTTGGCTTAAATTTGCAGTGCAATGGTAATGCAAGGCCATCGCAAGTCAGATTGGACCCAATGTCAAATGTATTCAAGTCAGAATGTCAAATGCATTACTTTTGGTCCCATGCGACTTCACCGTACAAGGGTATTGGCCACCGATTTGAAAGACAAGCCAAGGCGGTACAATGGAGAACCTTGGGAAGTATCACAGGAAATAAATTCACCAAGGCTGTCGGAGTGCCCGACTCCAGTCGAGGGACTTGAAAGGTTATGAGACACATCAGATCTGACCATATATGGGTCGCCGATGTCTCACATCCCCTCTGATGCTTCAAATAGTCCATGCCAGAGCCAATTCCCAGTGTCGTTTGACTCTGCAGAGGCGCGGGAGTTAGGGTATGACTTCGGTGACCCCATGTCATCAATATACCACCCAATACCTTCCTCTGAGCCATGATACCACCTCCCTATGTATGGTATCCCTTGCACCGGAGCCAATACTCTGCTCACCTCCTCCCCCCAATATCCCCCGTACAAGTCCAACCGCCCACCCAGCCCCTTAGCTGACCCGTTCAAACGGATTCGCACGCAAATTTCCCATCCGGGGAAGTGGCCCCTCTATTCCGTCTCGCCCGTACGGAGCCCCAGGAATATTTCAAGCCAAAGATGTGAGCAAGCGGGCATTGAGGGGATTTCCAAATACGGAAGGTGACCTCCCGCCAACCATATGGGGGGATAGCCCCATGTTTGGCGACCTTGGGCGTACATTAATTATGGCGACTCGTCCCTTGGTCCTCCCGCATGGTCAATTCTAGTCCTCCCTGGGATTTCCCGGGGATTGCCCCAGAGCAAGTCAGGCAGTCGATCGCTTTGCCCAAAATGCATATGGGGAGATTCCCCTTGAAATTCTGAGCTTCCCAGTATAGGAATCATGCCAGCCACCTCGGGCGGTGTCGCCGTATGGCTCGTACTACATTCACGACACGGCGGGCCATGTACCCTTGGCTTACGGCACGGTGGATACAGAGGCTAACCGAACACGCAAGGTGGATATAGAGTCTAACCGAACACGCCAAGTGGATTCCGACCTCCCGTTTGACTCTCGCCGAGAGCAGGCCGTTTTTCGAAATGGTTTACGTGTGGGCGGTATTCAAAGTGGATACAGAGTCTAACCTAACGGACGGCACGGTGGATTCCGCGATTTCGATGCACGGGCACCGCTTGGCTGGAATTGGCAAGTACAATGGTAATGCAAAGCCAGATTCGCAAAATAACCCAGTGCCGAATCAAAGGGAATAACAAAGGCTGTCAGAGTGCCCGACTCCAGTCGAGGGACTTGAAAGGTTAGCGGTTACATCGGATCTGACCGGCACATGGGTCACATTCCCTCTGATATTCCATGCCAAAGCCAAATCCAACCGTCATTCAATTCCCCAGAGGCGCGGTGACCCAATGGCATCAGAATACCACCCTAGACCTTGCTCTGACACGTCATACCACGTCGGTATCTACGCCCTTGCTCGCGCTGGAATATTTTAAACCGAAAACGCAAGCACGTCGGCATCGAGGGGATTTCCAAATACGGAAGGTGACCTCCCGCCAACCATATGGGGGGATAGCCCCATGTTTGGCGACCTTGGGCGTATATGAATTATGGCGACTCGCGCCTCGGTCCTCCCGCACCGTCAATTCTAGTCCTCCCCGGGATTTCCCGGGATTGCGCCAGTGCAAGTCACACAGTCGATCGCTTTGCCCAGAATGCATATGGGGAGATTCCCCTTGAAATTCTGAGCCTCCCAGTATAGGAATCATGCCAGCACCCTCGCGCGGTGTCGCCGTATGGCTCGTACTACATTCACGACACGGCGGGCCATGTACCCTTGGCTTACGGCACGGTGGATACAGAGGCTAACCGAACACGCAAGGTGGATATAGAGTCTAACCGAACACGCCAAGTGGATTCCGACCTCCCGTTTGACTCTCGCCGAGAGCAGGCCGTTTTTCGAAATGGTTTACGTGTGGGCGGTATTCAAAGTGGATACAGAGTCTAACCTAACGGACGGCACGGTGGATTCCGCGATTTCGATGCACGGGCACCGCTTGGCTGGAATTGGCAAGTACAATGGTAATGCAAAGCCAGATTCGCAAAATAACCCAGTGCCGAATCAAAGGGAATAACAAAGGCTGTCAGAGTGCCCGACTCCAGTCGAGGGACTTGAAAGGTTAGCGGTTACATCGGATCTGACCGGCACATGGGTCACATTCCCTCTGATATTCCATGCCAAAGCCAAATCCAACCGTCATTCAATTCCCCAGAGGCGCGGTGACCCAATGGCATCAGAATACCACCCTAGACCTTGCTCTGACACGTCATACCACGTCGGTATCTACGCCCTTGCTCGCGCTGGAATATTTTAAACCGAAAACGCAAGCACGTCGGCATCGAGGGGATTTCCAAATACGGAAGGTGACCTCCCGCCAACCATATGGGGGGATAGCCCCATGTTTGGCGACCTTGGGCGTATATGAATTATGGCGACTCGCGCCTCGGTCCTCCCGCACCGTCAATTCTAGTCCTCCCCGGGATTTCCCGGGATTGCGCCAGTGCAAGTCACACAGTCGATCGCTTTGCCCAGAATGCATATGGGGAGATTCCCCTTGAAATTCTGAGCCTCCCAGTATAGGAATCATGCCAGCACCCTCGCGCGGTGTCGCCGTATGGCTCGTACTACATTCACGACACGGCGGGCCATGTACCCTTGGCTTACGGCACGGTGGATACAGAGGCTAACCGAACACGCAAGGTGGATATAGAGTCTAACCGAACACGCCAAGTGGATTCCGACCTCCCGTTTGACTCTCGCCGAGAGCAGGCCGTTTTTCGAAATGGTTTACGTGTGGGCGGTATTCAAAGTGGATACAGAGTCTAGCCTTACCGATGCAGGATCAAAAGGCCGTTGACCCCCACTTTATGATCCAGACACTCGAATATCCCCGGATTAAATTCAATTCCCATTGACGTCCCAACAATTCAACCTCGTTACGAATAGCTACTCAACTGCTTCAATCCTGTCTTAAGGCACCTCCTCGGTATGGGTGTTGGAAGGATATTATTTGCGTGGATTATAGGTGCACTCCGCTGCAATGGCCGCAAAGTTCCGTTGCAACCAAGTATATTTGCACATGTAGTTTGAAATTATACAAGCCACGCGCTGATATAACCAGACTTATTCAAATAGAAACCTCCTGGGTCCAAAATAGGCAAGATGGCGGACCGGTGCACAATTAAGCGGATCCGAACCCCTGCCGGCGTTTCCTTCGAATGTGAAGTTGATAGCGTCCACAATGTTGTCAGAACATGTTGCGAGGTACAGTGACGTACTACGGACAGAGCGGACACGCAGATCGATCAAGAAAACCAAGGTATCAAGTTTTGGGCCAGGGTTTCGAATGCAAGATGAATAGTTGACCGTTTACACAAATTAAATACTAACTGTAAGCCATGCAGATTAGGAACACGAGACTCATTCGGTATCGGTGTGAACACGCACATTTATTTTCCCTACGCCGTGTCAACTACGTTCATTTCGAATTCACGACCTTGACTGGTACGGATACCATCGACCCACTCAGAAAATTCTCGCGCGCCAGTCCGGAGTGTAGGAATGCGCCGTCTCGGCACGTTCGATGGGGAGAAAGTCTGCACTCGCCTGGTTGGGCGGACACCGTTTTTATCTTCATCACCTTGCGCACGCTGGTGATTGTAGAGTAAACGTCAGACGACAGCAAGAAATAAATGCCCACATACCGTGGGATGTACGGTGGCGTGGCTAAATTTGGATGGTCGGGTGGGGGTAGAGGTATAGCTGCGACTCTGGAAGCTGCGCGAACGGAGCCACAGAAGAGCAAGGACGTACGATGATTGGAGATGTCGCAACTGCCGGCGTGTTGTACTGTGCGCAGATGCGGGTGCTCATTGTTTAGCGTTCCCGCATGGAGGTCATTCAGGGAGAATTCGAAGGAAGGAACGAGCAAGTTCTACACAATGAGGGGAACGGTGGACACACCCAATGGGAAATGGTCGGCGTCGTTGTTGGAGCTCCGAGATTCTTCCGAGGCGTACTTGGGCCGCGGCAGCATTGGCAGCTCCGACCTTTTGAGTTTTGGAAAGAGGGATGCTGAGGCTAGCTAAGGAAAGTGGGAAAAAGGAAGCATGCACGCACCAAGCGATGTAACGCGTAGGAATACTCAGTCGCCTGATTCCTCCGCCTTAAGGGGACACGCCACTAAAGAATGGGCGCAACGGCATTTGAGAAAAGGGGGGTTACCCAGCATGTTCGCAGACCTCAGGTTCGTGTGAGTGTCGTACTCGTTTACTAGTTAACGGAGCTTGAAATACTTACGGGACGATGCTCTTCCTGCCGCGCATGTGCGAGGAAGCTGTGGTATCGGTGTGCGTCGTAGCCTTGTCGTTGCTGGCAAACAAAAAGTGTTGACAAACAGCGCTAGGGTACAGCATAAAGACCACTTACATTCCATCACATTGGAAGTTGTTCACGTAAAGGCCAGGCCTAGAGAGGATGAACAAGAGTGCTCAAACGTTGAGATGATTCTCGCCAACTCGTAGACCTAGAGACATCGTCGTTGTTTGAGATAATTCCGCTCGCTCGAGGAGGAAATCTCCCGGGAAAGATGACCAGCCACACAACATCAGCATACTCCCTTAACTTCTGTGCGCAGTCATTTTACTTGTCAGTGGTGGTGGAGATCGCAGGGTAAGAAGACGGAATGAGAAAGGTACGATAAGCCTTCGTGGTGTATAATCGGCAACACGTCAAAATCCGTTAAGCCGTACAGCAGAATTTATTGTGACGAACCCGGTTCAAATCCGGGCGAGGGCCGAGTTTTTTTTTTTTAAGTCCTGAAATGGGATCAGATAGGGCAGTAGAATATGCCGCTACGTATGTCAGGCCCGTGGTCTTTCGCCAGGAAGAACGATATTCATCTGGAATCCACGATTGGAAGAGGTACAGTATTCGGGTTTTCTTGTTCCGAAATTCTCGCGCGGTGCTGTTAGAAAATATTTGGGACCCGGGAGGACAGGGTATGCACGTACGAAGAAAAGCCCCAAGGAGTCGCCGGCAGGGTAAGAACATGGCGATATACCCTCGCCATTTTTTAAAGTACAGATATTTGCGAGGAAAACCCCGGCCCATATATTAATTAAGCGGCTCGCGAGGATTTAACGCTCAATGAAGACAGAATACGCATCTGTATTTGAAGGATGCGCGATAAACGCTCACTTGCGAGTCGAAGTACTGCGACGGCAGAGCTACACCCATTAAATTCCAGGAGGGATCGTGCCGCGTATGTGCGCCGCCCTAGATTTTTGCAGCGCGTGCGTGGTGTCATTGCTGACGGCGAGAGCCATAAATTCCTTGCCAGAGCGGGTCTCGCTGTGAGTGAGCGTGTAGAATTCCAGAAAGGGAAGTGGACGTACATTGAGAAGCGGAGTAAAAGGCTTCGTTGATTCTGGGGGAAAACGGGTCAGAAGGCAGAGTGGAATGATTAGCATTTTCCGCAGCCGGCTCTCTGAGGGGTCCCTGGTGCGAGTCCAAACCAACGAGAGACGGCGGCAGAGAAAAAGCCCGAGCGGAAAGAAAAGACTCACTGAGGAAGGAGCCAAAAGAAGAGATTGAATGTCAAGATGGGAAAGATAAAATGCCTTCCTCGGGCAACCGCTGGCAACAGGATCTGAAATTATGGGTGTGTCAGTAGGGGTACGTGGCAAGAGCATGGGGTGCGGCGGGCTACTCGTTGGCTCCACGTGTCAGACCCGAGTACCGATTCTTAACACGCCAGGGAGTAGGCCTGACCCCAAAATCAAGGAACTCACCGCGTTGGACTGGTCGGAGGGTGCGTGGTCTGACGGGGACCTAGTTATGTACGACATGGCTACGCAACATTAAATTCCAGGAGGGATCGTGCCGCGTATGCCTACTGCCCTAGAGTTTCACGGTGCGTGCATGTTTTCATTGCTGACGGCGAGAAGCATAAATTCCTTGCCAGAGCGGGTCTCGCTGTGAGTGAGCGTGTAGAATTCCAGAAAGGGAAGTGGACGTACATTGAGAAGCGGAGTAAAAGGCTTCGTTGATTCTGGGGGAAAACGGGTCAGAAGGCAGAGTGGAATGATTAGCATTTTCCGCAGCCGGCTCTCTGAGGGGTCCCTGGTGCAAGTCCAAACCAACGAGAGCCGGCTGCAGAGAAAAATCCCAAGGAGAGAAAAGACTCACCCGAGGGGAAGTCAAGGATGGAGCCAAAAGGTGGGTGGAAGAGAGAGCGCGACAAGTCACACGGGGGTGACGGCACAAACAAACAAACAAACATGTGTGTCACATGACATACTGGGAGAGCCACGGAAGATGAAAGGGACTCGGTTGGGATGTACTGGAATCAGCCAAGGATGGGTAGCAGCAGCAGTTTTCCACCAAGCCCTCGTGGTGTATACTCGGTAACAGTTCACAAATCCGTACAAGAAGCCGTACAGTACAATTTATTGTGACGAACCCGGTTCAAATCCGGGCGAGAGCTATTTTTTTTTCAGGCCACAACTGGAAGTGAGCGAGTTGAGAGTAACGGTCGGAGCTCGCGCGCCATGAACGGGATGGTAATGCATTGATGATCTGGAATACATGGTAGGGATATACTACAATTTCGAAGGAAAAATTAGTACATGCGGATGTGGGTCGACTGAGGAGTGAAGTCATAGATCCGAGAATCAGCACTGCAACTCAACTCACACTATAGGCGCACACGGTAAAATTCATCCATATATAGTGGGTCCTCTCCCGCTCGTCCTCATTTGCGCATAGACTTGCCGACAGGCTGTACAAGACTGCCCGATTCGACTGTTCGAGGTCGTCAAGGCGGCCAGCCTCTAGGTGCTGGGATCCTGGAGCTACTCGAATCAGCATGTCCAATAAGGGCTGGAATTTCTTGGCGTGGCGGTGGCCCAGGTTATGTACCGAGAGGAACGGGTCAGTGCTGTCGAAATATTACCGCCGAGTCTGTTCCTTAGATTCCGGAGGCGGCAGATGAAAAGTAGATTTGATGCTGTCTGAATACAAAATAAATCAAGGCTGTCTCCTCTGGATATCTTTTGTAGAGATCGTGGTGGAGATGTACATGAGGACCAATGGCGTAATGTAGCGCACCTGTGAGCAATGGATCTCCAACTTTGGACTGTACGCAGGAGATGCCCGTTCAATTCGGGCTTGGTCGCATGACTATTTATTTTGCCATTGGAGCTCGAGTATCTTGTACGAGAAGAGCAGCGGTTGAAGATCGAACCAAGAAGAACATGGCGATCTTCCGCCCCGACAAGTAAGGAAAATGAATGAACTGGATGGAGTATTATTGCGAGTCGACTCACCGTTGGTTCTTGTTCTTTACGGTACATGTCAGGGTTTGGAAACTTTATGAAATCTTGTCGCTGTATACGGGAGCGCTTGGCCGCGCGGAAAGACAACCACATTCCATGGGGATAAGCCGTTGCGAGGACCTGACGTCCTGTTTGTAGTACACAGGGAGATGTAGGTAAAACGATATATTTATTATGCACATCGGAGCAAGACATCGATGTAATAGGAAAGAGAATAGCTTGCCGGTCTAGAAGCGAATTGATTATAGTACGGGAGCAAGAATTTTCTATAAAGGGGTTCAGGGTGGATTAATGGAGGGAAGGGGATGCTCACTGGTTTCACTCGTCATCTAGATCGTAGTCGTCGTAAAGGTCTTCGAGATCACTGCCCTCTGGGCTCGGAGCCTCAATAATACGTTCTGGGGTTGGCTCGAGAAGAAAGGGTAACGATTCGGCCCTGATGTAGTCGATGATGCATCGGCGGGTGAGAGGCGTGAGAGCGGAGGGTTCCAAGTCTGGGGGGGGGCGGGTGCATGGGCGACAGCGCAGCGGCAGACGGGAAGCGTGCCCAGCCATCGCGAGTGAGGTGGGTACCGGTCATATGGAGATTAGCGTACAAGAAGCCGGCGGGGACTCTGGCGGTGGTGAATTGTCGCATGGCACGGCACCACTCTATCGACGAATGTAGATTTATGTATAGGTAATAGGTGGGTTCGGGGATAGCGAGGATCCGTAAGTTTGGGGTGAGGCTAATATCCGACATGTGCTCAAGGAAGGTGGGGGTGAAAAAAGTAGGTTCCTTGGCGAGTGTCAATGAACGTAGGTTGGGACAGACGCGGAGGACAGAGTGGACATCGTCGGCGGAGACCCAGCCGCGGAGGCTGAGGTACAGATGCGAGGGGGACGCGCCCGAACGCTGTACGAGCGTGATGATGCCAGACAAGAGGAATTGACGGGCGTTGTCGTCACGGGGTTGGAGTATGGAGTAGACCCGGAGCGCCTGCAGCTGGGGTAACAAGAGCGGGAAGGGGTTCGGGGGTACTACGTCGTCCGTGAGCTGCAAAGTGAATCTGACGAGGTGTGGGAAACAAATGGGGGGGAATTGCGCGGGTCCGGAGTCGAGGACGTACGCGGAAGTTTCAAGCTCAGTGAGACGCGTCATGGTCTCGAGGGGGACACGCGGAACTTGATACGGCTGCCGCTCCGAGAGACCGGTCTCGCTGTAGCGCTCAATGAGTTTCCACGGAAGATCAAATAGTTCCTCGGGGGGGAGCGTGGAGAAAAATTCGAGACAAGTCAGCGCCGGCGCATTGACAAACCAACGGGAGTCCCCGTTTCTCGTGAGGAATCTCTGCCCGTTTTGGAGAGGGTCATCGTCGTAGACGGCGGTGCGCGCCCCGTGGATGGAAACACGGCTCAGCATGGGGAACCCGGCGGACGCAGCGGATGTAATGGCACGGCGAATGTTGGTAGCGTTTTGAGTGGTCCAGAGGTAATCGGGGAGTTCCACGCTGCGCCACCTAGCAATGGCACTGAAAAGCGGTTCCAGGGCGGCAGACGGGAGGTGGTCCCGGAATGGGATGACGACGTCGAGGGGGCCTTCGACGAGACTGATAAAGTGAGAAATGGATTCCGGGTCGCGGAGCGATTGGGTGCGGAGGTCCACGGGGTTCCAGTAGTTCACTAGGTGACGTGAATATTCGCGCCACTGACGTGAGACGTGGGCGAGGAGAAAAGGCTTGGCGGAGTCCATGTTGGGTTGCGAGCGGAGTTCGTTCATGTAGTGGGCTGCGATATCTAGCCACACATCGAGGGGGAGGAGGCGGACGGGCGCGACACGGTGGTGAAGGACGGCGACGACACCTTGAGCCTCGTCTAATGCGACTTGAGTCCGGGACAGCAAATCAAGTATTGGCGCAAGTTGATCGCGCGGAATGTCGATGAACGACAGGGGGTCTGGGGTTGGCTTGCCGTGGTTCATGGTGGTTTTGGTTATCGCGATGTGGCTGTGCAGTGACTGCATGTCACGCGTGATTATTTACGGCAGTACACGCGAGTTGTTCCGCCAGGGCGAGTCTTGGAGCAAGAGGCTGTTGACGTTGTGTGACGCAAGTCCATCGGTGTTTTTTTTTTCACGAGTACAACAGTGATCGCCAAACTCTATCAATATTACTATATTTTATTGTACATCGAATTTGGATCACAACACATTACCTGTTGGCGGTTAGATGGCCGTTGCGAGAACGAACGAGGAAAGTAAGACGGCTCACGGCGACAATTGTATGCACCGCATTCGCAGCGCGGGGGACCAAGGGCTCGCGGGCTGCGGCGAATGGGGTCAGACTTTTGGCGCCGCGCGGGACACGGCGGCGGGGCGTGTCCCGAGTAAGATATCGTCAGCTGCTCGCCGCGAGAGATGTTACGGGAGGAGAAGAACGCGAGGAGCGGCTTCCTGAGGTCGTTTTGGTCAATATAACAAGG